GACTTTTAAGTGTATTCAAGTAGGTTTCGATTTTGTCGTGACAAATTAGAATTGATAAATATGGATTAATCAAATTTTAAGACGAAAACGAAATTGAAAATGTGATTTTTATTAACAATTAATATTTTTTAATGAAAATTTTAATTGGGGAATTTGTCGCTTTGACTATTAAGTGTATTCAAGTAGGTTTCGATTTTGTCGTGACAAATTAAAATTGATAAATACGAATTAAAAAAATTTTAAGTCGAAAACGAAATTGAAATTGTGATTTTTAATAACAATTAATTTTTCTTAATGAAAATTTTAATTGGGGAATTTGTCGCTTTGACTATTAAGTGTATTCAAGTAGGTTTCGATTTTGTCGTGACAAATTAGAATTGATAAATATTGATTAAACAAATTTTAAGTCGAAAACGAAATTGAAAATGTGATTTTTATTAACAATTAATCTTTTATAATGAAAATTTTACTTGGGGAATTTGTCGCTTTGACTTTTAAGTGTATTCAATTATGTTTCGATTTTGTCGTGACAAATTAAACCTGATCAATAATGATTAAACATATTTTGAGTCGAAAACGAAATTGAAAATGTGATTTTTAATAACAATTAATATTTTTTAATGAAAATTTTAATTGGGGAATTTGTCGCTTTGACTATTAAGTGTATTCAAGTAGGTTTCGATTTTGTCGTGACAAATTAAAATTGATAAATAGTGATTAAAAAAATTTTAAGTCGGAAACGAAATTGAAAATGTGATTTTTAATATCAATTAACTTTTTTAATTCAAATTTTACTTGGGGAATTTGTCGCTTTGACTATTAAGATCATTTCATTTGGTTTCGATTTTGTCGTGACAAATTAAAATTGATAAATACTGTTTTAAAAAAGTTAACGTCAAAAATGAAGTAAAAAATTGATTTTTAATAACAATTAACATTTTTAATGAAAGTTTTGTAGTTAGTTATATGTAAGTGAAATGAGGTAATGAAATTAATTTTTTTTAAGAATATTTTTTTTTGCTTGAGTAGTTCTTCGTATGAGTAGTTGATTAATTTTTTTTTATAATTTATGATTACGTATTTTCTCTTGCATAGATTTTAAATTCTTACGAAATAATTTAATTTAGTTTAATGTAAAATTTAACAAATAAGTTTTTCTTTTTCTATATGAATTACATTTTTTTTACTGTACTTATGTGATTCATCTGCAGTTGTTTAATTTACATTCATTTACAGTTCGTATAAAAATTTTTTTCTTAATTTTATTTTTAAATTTAAAAAAATTTTTTTTTGAAATTAAAAAATTTTTTTTTTTTAAATTTTTTTAATTAATTTTTTGGGTTTTTGGAAAATGAATTATTTGGTCTTGTTACGGCAAAAAAACGGCAAATTTCTGTCAAGAAGAATTTTGTGAATCTTTGTAAACAACGGAGTTAGAATGGGTGCTTCGCTAATTTTATGTAAACTTAGCAAAGCACCCTATTTTAAAAAAAATTGAAGAGCGACAAAATTTTTTTTTTCACAACTAATTAGCGACTAAAAAGCGGCAAATTTTGGTCTATATAAGACTTTTGGTTTTTGAAGTTGTTTCGCTAAGTTTATGTACGTGGAAAATTCAGGGTCGTAGAATTATTTCCTAAATGTAAATGATCTTAATTGAAATTTTCTGTGTTTACAGTTGATAAAGTGAATATTAAAATTTTCACGAAATTCTGACCTACATATATAGAAAAAATTTTCTTTTTTCCTTTTTTCCTAAGATAGTATAAAACATCAAGGTTACTTTTCTCCATTTCTATGGAGTACAGGAGACGATAAAATCGACCAGTCTGTAACCATGACGACACCACCCCCCAATTTTATCCTACTCCATTTACGTCACAAAACCCGCTACAAACATTACTACTACTATTACAGTTTACTTTCATATATATATATGCATACATTCATAGAGTCATTATTCATGTTTAATTATGTTTATATTGAATCATTGTAAAACTGTAACTCACAATCATAATACAATTATTGGGAATATTTAGCCTAATGAAAATTGAAATATATATATTTTTATTATATTTTATTTTTTTGAAAAAAATTGTATTAAAATATTATTTCTAATTTTATGATTATAGTTATTTCTAATTTAATAATAATTATTTCTAATTTGAGAATTATTATCATTTCCAATTTGATAATTATAATTTCTAATTTAATAATTAAATTAATTTATAATTTAATAATTAAATTAATTTATAATTTATAATTTAATAATTAAATTAATTTATAATTTATAATTTAATAATTAAATTAATTTATAATTTATAATTTGAATTTTTTATACTTTTTGTGTTAAAACTATTTTTCAATATGAAATGATTAAATATATGTTTAGATAGTCAGGAAGTGTGTGACGTATTAAAATGATTTACTATAAATAAGCATTGGGAAAGATTTTGATTATAAATAGTTAGGAATATTTGCGCGTTTCCTCAATTTTAGAAATATATATTTTTACAACAAACTATTTTTGAAAAACAATTTGTATGTAAAATAATATTTGATTATTTATTGATTTGGACAAAACATTATTTAATTTAACAAAAAAAATTTTATTGCAAAAAAAATATATTTTACATATATTCTAAAAAACAATTTTTTTTTATATTTTCCTCATTAAAAATTTAAAAATATAATATTTCCTTTTAAAAATAATTATATAAATTTTTTGTCTAAATTTCTCGTTTTCGAAATAACCTTGACTTATTTTTTATTTTTTTTTTGAAAAAAAAATTATAATATACTTGGGGTGTAAAATCTGATTTAATACATATCGATTGTCAAATGTAGCAAAGCATTTCTTAGTATTAGCTACTATATATATATTGATTGAAGAGTAAAAATACATTTCATGGATTTTTATATATTTCCTTTCTATGTGAATCTTTATTTAATAATAAATTCAAGAATAGAGGTTATTTTCCTAAACATTTTCGATAAATTAATTTAATATTGAGCTAAAATAATAATAATAATAATTATTATTATAATTATTATTATTATTATTATAATTATTACTATTATTAAATACAAAATATGCTTTTTCGCATATTGATGCCAAGCGCATTTCTTTTTGGAAATGATCCACATTTCACGACCTATTGATCTTTTCAATGTCCTTGTTTTCCAGACCGTGTCTAATTGCGTGACAAGACATCTTACTCGACGCCAAAAGACCTTAAAGGTTAAACATTTACTTTTAAAAAAAAAGCGATAGGACTATTAATTGATTTTTAAACCTGACCTTAATAATTTAATTCCCTTCTTCCTATATATGTATACGTGTAGAAAATATATATAGCAAAATCAATTATTTTTTTAAAATAATTAAAAATCCATAAATTATTTTTCTTTGGAAATTAAATTTCCATTTATAAGTATACAAAAAGTTACGTATATAACACGTTGATAAGAGGCTTTTCATCTGAAGGAGACCTTACTACTTTAGGGGATTAAATAATGACGTTATATTTCGCGTGTTCAAACAAATCAAATTTGCGTCAAATCACACAATTCATATTGTATTGTATATATAAGGTTTTTGCACTTGTTTTAACCGGTATATTTATTTTTTAAGTTTCTGAATTGGGTTTGAAATTTTTTTTTTTTTATTCAAAAAACAAATTGAATTAATAATTTTTTTTTTAGGTCCATAAGTTAATAATCATGTGTGTATATATATTCATCATACATTTGTCAAGATTAAGTCATCAAATATAAATGTTGTCCTAACTTTCATAATCAAATAGGGAAATTTTCATTTATTTCTCAGAATTGTTGCGTGTGATAAAAGACATTTCACTTTTCTGATTTATGATAATAAATTGTAACCTTGGCCATAGCATGAAATATATATATATTAACAAAACGAGAATATTTTTTTTTATATTGAATTTAATTAATTATTTATTCTGTTTAATTAATCTGTATTTGCAAAATAATTTTTAAGGGCGAAAGTAATTTTTCTACTATTAATATTATAATTATTATTTATTATATTATTATTTGTTATAATATTATTTATTATATATATATCTGTTATAATATTATTTATTATATATATTTGTTCTAATATTAGTTATTATAAATTTGTTCTAATATTAGTTATTATAAATTTGTTCTAATATTAGTTGTTATAAATTTGTTCTAATATTATTATTATATAATATAATTATTAGTATTTATTAAATAGATTTTTTTTTGCATGTTTTATTAATTTATTAACACATTTTTTAATTTTTAACAGGTTTTTGCATGTTTTTTTTTTGTATTTATTAATATTCCTCCCCCCTCCATGCAGATAGTTTTAGTATTACAAATTCTTAGCCAGCAATGCTTGTAAATAATTATATTCCCATTTTTTTTTTGCACGATGCTCACATACGCCGTATGTCGCAAATATATTTCTAAACCTAATCACGCATGTGCACCTGCATAAGTCTTGTTATATTACCTTGATGGTGAGTACTTGATATTTTTTTTTTAATACACATTTTGCATTTTTATTTAACCAATAAATCTAATAATATTTATGTATAATATACAAGGTGTCTAAAAGATTCGATGAAAAAATTTTTTACTTTCACCAGTTTTTTATTTATATTTTTAAGACACCCTGTATATGTATAATTATTGTACATGTTTATATTATTATTTACATGTACAATAAAATTTATTTATTTATTTATAACTCCTGGTATATAATTTCTAATAAAATAATATTTTCTAATTTTAACAAATTAAATGTATTAGAAATGCACACAATATTGATTAAAATGTCTATAACAGCACGAGTTCTAATTACATTAATTATATATACGCATTTGCACGTTTAATTTGCATATATAGTTAATTTTTTTTTCCAGTAGTTAGTTCTAATTTCATTACCTTGAAATATAATATATAATTTTTTAATGAAAAATTCTTAATTTTTTTTTTTTTAGTTTCAAATCCATATTGTTCTATTTTGGAACAAAGTATGGAGTGACTCAGTAAAAATGGTAATTCTTTATAATTCTTATTTTCCACTGTGAATTACTATTTTTTAACTCCTTTATCATAAAAAAAACCAACAATATTTTAATGTAACTTGAAATATAAAAGTTCTGTGTAGAATTTCAATCAATTTTTTTTTCTTTCAAAATTATAATAAAAAGAATATAAAATCCTCCGTATAAAAAATTATATAACCTTGTTATTACTTTAAGGGTATGTCAAATATGTTCTAAATATTTTGTGGCAAGAAAAAAAATTAATTATTTTCGAAATTACACTACGAAAAAAATGTTGTACTAGAGGCATTTCAAACGATCAGTCATGATTTTTTTAATATTTTGTTTTTTTGTATTGTTTGGGGACTTAAATAAATGTGCAAAATTTTAATTAAAAATCATAAGTTTTTTTCAAGTTATTTACATTAACAAAAAGATACTTTTTTTTCTTTTCATTATAACTATTTCATTTTTCTTTGTACAGAAAAGTTGTTTTAAATGTTTTTTCTTCAAAAAGTATTGAATTTTAAGAAAATGATTTTTATTTTTAATATTTTATAATTTTTACATTATTTATTTAAAAAAAAATTTTTTTTTATTAATCTTTAAACCTGTTATTGGGCTAATTTCGATCTAAAAAAAAATCATGAATATTGTTCAATATTATACAAATTACATTCATTTAGATTTAGATCGAAATTAGCCCGATATCAGGTTTAAACATTAATAAAAAAATTTTTTTTTAAAATAAATAATGTAAAAATTATAAAATATTAAAAATAAAAATCATTTTCTTAAAATTCAATACTTTTTGAAGAAAAAACATTTAAAACAATTTTCTGTACAAAGAAAAATGAAATAGTTATAATGAAAAGAAAAAAAAGTATCTTAAATTTGTTAATGTAAATAACTTGAAAAAAATTTAAGATTTTTAATTAAAATTTTGCACACTTATTTAAGTCCCCAAACAATACAAAAAAACAAAATATTAAAAAAATCATGACTGATCGTTTTCAAATGAAATGCCTCAATAAATTTAGTTGAATTAATTTTTTTTTTTTTGGAAAAATTTATTATGAATGAAATAAAAACTTTTCTGTATGGTAAAATTTGCCATGCCCTTAAAAACAGTTAATTTAATTTTTTTTTTACTCATAATCGTGAATATTTCCTCTTTTTTTAATAGTAATGAATGAAAAAAAAAAAAATTCTTTTCACAGGAAAAGGCAGATCAAGAAGCGTGTATGCTGAGGGATTCGACACCTCGGAGCCGGTGCGAGAACCGTCGGAAGGTCCTTATGGTAGCTGACGGTGTCGCGGGTGCCGTGCCAAACGAGATTCAGGGGTTAAAAGGCTGGCCGCGTCGCTGGAGCCAGTCGACAAATACCTATATTTAGAAGAATGGCCGATAGGAACCGAAACTTCCTTCGTGAAAATCCTAGCGACGCGGTGAAACCAAATCTCAAGAATCATAATAATAATAATAATAACAACAATGATTCGGGAATTGTCAGTCCACCACGAAAAGAGGGTCTTTATGTGAAAAAAGATGCAAGCAATTATCAACGCCTCGTTAACTATCAAAAAGATGAAATTCCACAAAAGAATAAAGATTTAGAATCAATATCACGTGATCATAAATATAAAGAGAAAAAACGTGGACAAGCGCCTATTGTTGGTTGGCATAATGGTAGTCCAACTGTATTTCCCAGTTCACCATTAAGTTCACCCGATCAGGAATCATTGGATAAATTTGATTCAACACGAACGGAAAATACAAATGGAAATAAAACAAGAAGCTCGTCCAGAAGTTCTGGAATTGAACAAGATAATACAGAGAATCTCAGTAGTATTGCTGATGAACGATTAATGTTAAATACACCGCCATTTACAATTGATGAAAGTGAATCATTAACACCCGATGGTGAAATACAATTAACAACAAATGATGATTATAGTATTGGCGATGAATTTCGTGATAAAATTGATTTTTTAAGTCCAGTCACCGATTGTACTGAGGATAGAATACCGGCAACTCCTGTTGATAGTTATTTAACATCACCAAATTTAACAGTTGGTCCAAGTCCAACTGAACAGGATATTAAAAAATCACCGGATAAAACACAAGGTATACTTGTCTATCGTAAATATTCGGATCCTGAAAAAATTTTAATTACAAATCCCGGTTATATTGAGAATGATAAAAAAAGAGATTCAATTGATGGTGCTGAAAGTATATTAGAGATATATGATGATGAAGATGAATTGGAATCATCGAATGATGAAACAGAAACAATTAAACCAAAAATACCTGATGGCGGTTGGGGTTGGGTTGTGGTAATGGCGTCATTAATAATTTCAATGATTGCCGATGGTGTTTCATTTAGTTTTGGTTTATTGTATAGTAAATTTTTAGAGGAATTTGAAGCATCAAAATCAAAAACTGCTTGGATTGGTTCATTATTTATGGCTGTTCCATTATTATCGGGACCAGTTATGTCGGCATTGGTTGATCGTTATGGATGTAGAAATATGACAATTGCCGGTGGATTTATATCAGGAATGGGATTTGTTTTGAGCAGCTTTAGTAACAGCATTGAGGTAATGTACCTGACTTTTGGCGTCATTGCAGGATTAGGTTTGGGTTTGTGTTACGTCACTGCGGTTGTGAGCATTGCTTATTGGTTCGATAAGAAAAGAACTCTAGCTGTAGGTCTAGGGGCATGTGGTACAGGTATTGGTACGTTTGTTTACGCACCAATGACATCATTTTTCATTAAGGAATATGGCTGGAGGGGAACTGTACTTCTATTGGCGGGTACATTTTTTAATATGATTGTTTGTGGCGCTGTAATGAGAGATCCAGAATGGTGGATTTTGGAGCAAAGAAAGCAAAATTTAGGTTCACCAAAGAAGTCAACGGCAAGATCTGATGGTGGAAGATCACCAAATACTCCAGTTGAGGAATTTCCAGGTGTTGAGGAACTTAGAAAGTTGCTTAAGAGTGGAAAAACGCCGGAATATTTGTTGCAGAGTCTTAGAACGAGTACGGAAACACCAACAACTGTTGATGGAGGTGGAACATCTTTTAGGAGTGTTGTTAATTTACCAACTTTCGTGAGACAGAGTGAAAAGGTGAGTTTTTTTTGAAAATATTAAAAAATTTACATTTATAGAAAATTACATGATTTGAATTTTTCAGGTGCCATTGGAGGTTTTGGAATCCCTTTCTTCAAATTCGAGACTTTACAACGTTATTTTGGAAAATTATCCCAGTCTTTTGCTGTGCAGATCCTTATCCGATAAGAAACTCGATGATTCGAATGCTGATGTTTTCAATAAACGAGGAGTCACAATGTCAATGAGGTTACAAGACTGGTCTGCTATCTGCATCCTGCACGATTTTTTATTTATTTAGCATAATTTATTGTCCATTGCACCTAAACCAATTTATATTTTCTATATTCAATTTAATTTGTTTTTGCCTCATTATTTTAATTTTACAATTTTGCACATTAATATTTAACCTTTTTGTTTAATTTTGATTTTGTAATTTTGCACATTAATATATTTAACCTCTTTGTTTAATTTTGATTTTGTAATTTTGCACATTAATATTTAATCTCTTTGATTAATTTTGGTTTTTTAATTTTTAAATTTCGTTTGTTTAATAAATTTTTCTTTTTCAGGATAAAGCAAGCAACAGAGAAGGCAAAACGAGCCCAAAATCAGACAAAGGATTCTCGTCCTGGTTCGACTCATGCATCGACAAAAGTTCTTGCCACTAGGAGAATGTCAAGAAAAGATTTGGAGGAAACCAATCCGTTATTGGCAAAAGAAGTAGCGCAAGCTGTTAGTATTTTTAATTTGTACGAAGTTTGTAGTACGCAACGTTTATGATAAATAATTTTTAAAGAAAGAATTTTTTAAAATAAAAATTTTTATAATTTTTTTGACTAAAAAATATTTTTTGCAGTTTCTGTTAATCAACAAAATTATAAAAAAATATTTTTAGGCAAAAATTATAGAATTTTTGATTTTAAAAAAATATTTCTTTAAAAATCGTTTATTATAAACGTTACGTACGTTAATTTGTTAATCAGCTTCGTTAATTTGTCTGGTTTGTTTTTAAATTTATTTAAAAATTTATTTAAAAATTTATTTAAAAATTTATTTAAAAATTTATTTAAAAATTTGTTTTTAATTTTTTAAAAGACACTAAAATTGCTTTTTGTTTTTTTTATTTTATTTTTCAGATGGCTGAAGCTGAACGGGCAAAATCTGTATCGAGGCATCATCTTCCTGGAATTTCAGGTGGTGTTGTTAGAACCGATTCATTGCCATGGCTTAGAAGACAGTTCAGTACAAATACTCATTACTTCAAAGATATTCGAGTTCACAGAAATTCTGTTATGTATCGAGGGGCTGTATTGAATCTCCATAAATATAGATTAAGAGCAAGTAGCTGTCCGAATATCTACAGAAATAGTATGACGACATTGGCAAAAGAGAGCGAGGAGGCATGTTTCATTAATTATTATTAAATACTCAATTTATTTATCATAAATACTGAAATTACTTTTTTTTTTCCTGAAATGGTTTTCTTATTTTCTTTACAGAAATGGTACAGTGAATTGATCGAATTGCTGAAAGGAATGATGGATTTTTCAATGTTTCTAGAATTACATTTTCTTTTATTGTCATTGTCGACAATTTTGCTATTCACATGGTTTATTGTCCCCTATTTTTATCTTGTCGAGCATCTCAAGAGAAATGGACACTCAGAAGATGAGGGTTCATTTTTACTTAGCATCATTGGAATTACAAACACAATAGGAATGGTAAAGGGGAATTGTTTTTTTTTGAAAAATTTTAATATTTCAAAATATTGACAAAAAAAATTATTTTACAGATTGGTTTAGGTTGGGCTGGTGATCAACCATGGATGAATGTGAGCAAAACCTACACATGGTGTCTCATTGCCTGTGGAATAGCAACATGTTTAATGTCATTTTTAACTTATAATTATTATTTTATGATAATTGTCTCAGCTGCTTTTGGCTTATTTTTTGCGAGTAATTTTAGTTTTACACCGGTTATTCTTGTCGAATTAATACCATTGGAGAGATTTACGACTGCTTATGGTCTGAGTCTTCTTTGTCAGGGTATTGGTAATTTATTAGGACCTCCCTTAGCAGGATTATTATTCGATATAACTGGTACATGGGATTTATCCTTTCTCATGGCTGGTGGATGGATTATTTTCTCGGGACTTCTCATGGGATTTATTCCATACACTAGAAATAGAAAAATTTGGGGCAGTGGTCCCGTGGAAATGGAAAAAGAAAGAGAGGCATATGCCTAGAAAAGAGAAATTTATCCTTTTATTATTAATTAATTTCAAAATAATGTCCAAAGATCTGCGACGAATATAATATAAATATATATAGCCATCCACGAAATATATAACTTTTCCTAAGGAAAATATTTGATATAGAGAGAATTTAACGTGTATGAATCATATGGATGAAATTTACACCATTATTTAATATTTAATTATAATTAGTATATTATTTTATCGTTGAAGTAAAATTTCTTTACTTGCTCATATACTCTTGATTTTTAGCTCTTAACTCTTGATTTTAGATATATTTTTAAAAATTTGTTTTCTTTATATAATTTTCAGAAAACAATATTGAAAAAAAAATTTCTGAATCTCTTTTGAAAAACATTCCAGCTTTTTAAAATTAGTTTTTAAATGTAACATATTTCGCTAGTTAATAATTTACGGTTATATAAGAATTGTTACGTTTTATGTAGTTATTAAAAAAAAAAGTTTCTGGCATTGTTGAATAATTTTGTTATTAAATCTTGTAAAATCCAAATGTGATCTGAAAACTATTATAATATGATTATAATTAATCTATATTTAAAAAAAAACACATTACAATAGTGTGACACTGAATGTATAAAATTGTAACGTAAAAAAATATGATGCAAAACAAAAAATTTAGTTAACAAATTAGGAAAAATTTCATAAAATCAATTCAATATCTTCATTAAATATATATATTTTTTTTAATAGTTACTCCAGTGACATTATTTTGCTATGGATTTTATTTACACGAAGCACAATATTATTTACAAAATAAATTGTCAAATTTTATTTTTCGAAAATGACTAATTTCTTTTGTATATAGTATTCTTAAAATAAGTGTTTGATAACATTATAGATACAGAGAACAAATTACGCTTACAGAAACAAAAATGCTACACAATTTATACCATCCTAAATAATATTTGTTAGATTTGTAAAATCTAATAATAAAAAATAATAAATAATAAAATAGGAACGTGAATATTGCGCAAGCACATGAAAAATAGTTCATCCCATGGGATTTAAAAACAAGTACAATATATTAGAAAAAAAAATTATTTATAATTTAATTACACTTAACTCAAATAATTATAAAATAATAATCTTTGGAAATTTTTCAAATAAATAACAGAAAAACATTTTGTATTTAAAAAATACACTACATTTTGAATAATCAAAATTCAAACACTTTTGATAGATTTTTGTAAAACATTGTTGCCTTTCATTACAGGAGACTGGAGTATTTAAAATAAAAATTTTATGAAATGTTAATTTATTTTTAAATTATCAATATTTCACAATGTTTAGTAAAAAGAAAAACGAACAATTTTTCCAATTACGCGGTTTAATAGATAACTATTTTTAATAAGGAAATTTGTAATTGACAAATTCAAATTGGAATATGAAATTTTTTGAAAAACAAATTTCTTTTCATTCTTTATAATATTACATTTGTTCCATAAAAAATATTTTTTAATTTATTCTCTCCTTAAAACAGAAATAAACGACGATTTAGTCAAAATATTGACTAATTTCAATATTTTGGAGTAACTTTTCGAAATGTTTAATGTATAAAAAAAAAAAAAAAAACTTGACTATTTTCTGGGCGCAATACTATATATTTTATCATATAAACAAAATAAAAATATATATATATAGAAATAGTAAATGGTAAATTTAATTTATGAAATTAATTTATTAACTATAGAAAATTTGTCAGGTTTATGTTATAAAAAAAAAATAAATAAAAATTTTTATCAGTAAAATTTGTAAATGTTATTTGTTTACTCTGTCGACGTAATGGTATAATGAGTATAATAATAACAATAATATAAATAATTTAATAATTAATTTTTTAAATTTATTTTAAAAAAATATTTCATTTTGAAAATTATTGTATATGTGAAAATATAAAAAATCGATACGATAATTTTTTTTTTCGAAAAAGTTCCAATAAAATAAAAAAAAAAAAATATTAATCTCGTTTGGTATAAGTCCAGTCTTAATTTTTATAACCGAAAATTTTCGGTATATTTTTCAATTTTCACATTTTTATAGAAGGACGGAAGTAAAATTCTTTTTTTCTTAATATCCTGGTGATGTTGTTGGACTTGATGGACTTGGACTAGGACTTCTTCTAGGCATTTTTGGTACGCCAACTTTCATGGCAAAATTTTCTAAACTTGTTGGAAATGTTTTTGTTATTATTGTGTGCTGGGGACCAATCATTGCGTCACACATTACTCCTAATCGTACACCATTCCCATGCCTATGAAGTGTCATTGACATACCTGTAAAATTGTTACCATTTCATTTTTTTTAAATTATAAATTAAATCGTATTTTTATATTTTGTCAATTTTGTTTGTTAAATTAAAATATAACTTACTACAATTTCCCTGAGGTGGTCGCCAATAAACAGCTGTACGAATACCCTCAATTGGTAAATCTCCATCCACATGTGTTAAAGAAATGGAATACCTTCTCGTGAGATGATAAAGTAAAATTTTTAATAAAATTGAAGGTAAACATGATGTAATTAATCCAGAAGAAGTTTCTGCTTTTGTAATCGCGTAAATTGCACTTTGCCTTGATCTTGCATCGTGAATATTTCTTTGAATAATCTGCAAATTTTCAAATTCATGAAGAAATGCAAAAAAAAAATATTTATTTTTTTAAAATTAATTTAAAAACCTGAAGAATCTCAATGAGATCATCCTCAAACAGATGAGTTTTTGTAGGAAGACCCAGGCATAGAAGACCCCTTGTTTTGTGATTTTTTATAAAAAGATCCCTTTGACTAACAAATTTTGCAGTTGCCAAAATTTCATCTGGTATTTGAAGGCCTGATTGTTGAAAATATTCTTTTAATGAATCGACAGTTGCTACTAAAAGTATTTCCGATTCCGTTGCGCCAGTAACACTGGAAATTTTTTGCAGTATTTCTGTATTAACTTCATCCGACCAGGCAAGGACTTTTCTTCCACATGGCGAAATCGTTTGTAAACGATTTAGTTGAGTGTGTTTTAAAAATAGCTCGTCAAGAATTGATCTTGGCGCTCCTAAAGCTATTGCCGTTATGGAGAAAAATTCCAAAGTAGCCTAAAAAAAAAAAATTATTAAATTCGTTGAATAATATTTTTATCGAATTAATTTTTTTTTCAGATAATTTACCTGGAAAATTAATGGCAAATAGCAAAATAAAATCGAAATCAATGTATCAGGATAGTAATGTTTATCGGACGATTTAAGAGCTTTTAATTCACGGATAAATAAAATTGGTATTTTTAACGTTAAGCTCACAATCATATACCATATCCATGAAACAATGAAACGAGAGAATTCAAGAGGATTTAAAGATGCCGAAAATGCTTTCAAGATAATTTTAGATGTGAAATTTCGTATTTGCGCTTCTTTTTCGAGAACTGGAAGAATTTCCCTAAATCGAAGACCTTCAACTTTTTTATATTTTCTGCAAATTAATTAGGTATTTATTTATAATTAATTTTTTTCAAATCAGAAAATTATTTATTATAATTTTTATAAAATGTTAAAAATACCTGGTGAGTTCTTTCATTGTCGATACCATGATAATAATTGCAATTTTTGCACACAAAAAAAGACCAATTGGTTTTTTAAATATTTCCGGTCTCTCCAATGGATCATTATTACATAAAAATTCATTCCAAGTATTGCTGAAACTTTCCATAAGTTTTTCATGAAGTCGTGGAAGTGCCGATGGTTCTGAATAAAGATTAGTGAATGGTGAATTTGTTTTTTGACATGCCCAATTTTCTGGTGATATTTTTAATGGTAAAAAATCGGCCAATGTAAAATTTTCCTGTTGTAAAAGAAGATGATGTACACGTACAAGACAAAATTTACTTGTTTCACCTCTCATTAGACAATTGATGACATGCACTTGCCATGGCGAATGATTTGATGGCAAAAATTTTGCTGCCACATCACTTACGTAATCCTGAAAGTAATAATAAAATATTTTTATTTACGAATATAAATTTATTAAAAAAAAAAAAGAAACAATCAAAGAAGTAAAAATTGTTTAAAGAATTTTTAAAAATTTTTGAACCTGAATATTGGATTCTGTAATTGGTCGACCCTTAAAAGAACCGGGCGAAAATATTAAATGATTGTCAACAGAAAAATTGTCAAGTTTTTTCCAAGCATAAAGACCCCATTTTGTTGTTAATGTCATCTTCAAATATGTTTTCGAAGATGTTAAGTGAATTAAATGATTTCTCACATTATCTGTAATGGATCTACCCTGGACCAGTAAAGTATATATTCCCTGAAAAAAAAGAAATTATTAATTTACAGAAGAAAAAATTGCTCACAGGTATATGTAAATTTAACAAATACGTGACGCTTTTTGAAGAAAGGTGTATAGGTTATGTTTGTAATTTTTTAATTGTTCTTCAGAGCGCGTCACATACATTTTTATAAATCATATTTCTAATATTTTAATTATTTTCTGTTTTAGATTCGCTTGCCTGATTTCTTCCATGTTCGAGAATACTTCGAATACTGTTCCGGCTGACTATTAAATATTGAGGATGTTTCCATTTTACAAAACGAACCCAGCATCGTCTGGACCAATTGACGACTAGAAGAGACAAACTGGATCACATTATTTAAAGAAGATATTTGTTAACGACACTTGGTAAATAAAAATAATTCCACAAATAAAAAATAAAAAATTAATTTATCTTTTGTACAATATTTTAGAAATATTATTGTTATTCAAGAATTTTTACAGATTTTTTTTATTAATCTGAAACTGATATTGATTTTTAAATAGTGAATGATATGCATTATATTATAATTACTTGTATATTTTTAATTGTTCTATATGTATTTATCGTTATCAGTAACACAATTAATAATGCATATCAATCACTATTTTGTGATTTATCAAGTATAGATATATCTGACAATATAAGCCCCACAATGATTCACATGTTTGCATGTATATATATTTTTTAAAATATAAAATATTTTTATTTCGAATTTTTAATAATGATATATATTTAGAATATACAATTAAAGACTTTTACTTACAAAGATAACTCAGCAAAATTGCAGGTATAAATAAAATAAAAACAACAATCAATGCAATATTGAACAGGTAAGAAACACCGAACATGCCTAAAAAATTCAAAGTTCAAATTGACCACATCAGTATAATATTCTTATCTATTGATAAAACTTATTTAAAATGCATGATAATATGACTTGAAAATTTCGTAATTCATTTAAATTTTTAAATAAACGCATTATTGATACTATATTTTTTTAAAATAAATAATGTAAATAAAAAAATATAATTTATAATACGTTATTTTATTAATAACTTTAATAAATAAAAATAATATAAAAAATCATTTTTTTTAGAAATAAAATTTAACTTTCAATTGTTCTAAAAATGGGAAACGAGTTTCATGGGGATAGAAATTAATATCAGCAAACCTGCAATTAATTTTTTATTGTACAAGGTAGTTTATTTTTTTTTTAAATCGTCGCGAACAAAGTAAAGGGGTGGTTTAAAGAAAAAATTAAACACACGTAAGAAGAACAAAATGACTTTTATAACACGTCGCGAAATCTTTCAGGATGCAACTGCTTTGACTTGAGAAATTACATTAACGCATTGAAAATGACCCACGACCCCTTGCAAAGCAAATCGGTTTTTCAGATATTGATAAGGTTATAACATTATACAGTGCCGTATACATTTATTTATTAATAATAAATACAATAAAAAAGAATTACACTTGAAAACAAATTTAAGATTTATTTTGTTTTTTTAAAATTAATTTAGCTAAAAAAAATAATACTAAATATGTCAATGTCACTCTTATAATTGTCAAAAGAATTACTTTACAAAAAATAATAATCCTTAATTTTTGTTTTATATTATAAATTTCTGAAATTAAATATTTGAAGTAATATAAAGGTAATAAGTAAATTAAATAATTAATTAATTATAAAAAATAATAATTAGCAGCAAAAAAATTTGACTCATCATTAAATTTTGATAATGACAGTACTGATCATTTGTTTTGTTTCTAAAAGGAAATACGAAGTTTTATTTTGACTTCTTCTTATCCTTTTCTTTGTACAGACGATTAACAGTCTCATTTGGTCAATTTGTTAACATTATCAGGAAGTCCGAAGTAACTTGTACATTTGACTTAATTATAGCATATACACATTTTTGCCTGATTGTGGTCACATGAAAAAAAAAATTTTTTAAACCCAAATTAAAGTAAACCTATTAATTAATAAAATAAATAATTATAACTATTAATTAAACAATTTAATTAATTTATTCTATAGGTAGATAAATTTAATACCATTATTTATAAATTAATAAAATTTTTCTTAAATAATCGTCCATTTTAAAAAATTGTACCACAATTTTTATAAGTTTTTGGACAATATTTTTCGGCTATTTTACCATATGGTACATTACTACCAACTTGAACTTTTTCCAATTTGCTTAATTTATTCCAAACATGAATTGCTTTTGATTTTTCAATTGTATTCATTGTTTTATTTGTATTGTCAGTTGTAAAATATTTTCTCCAACTAGGATAAAAAATTGGATAAAACACTGAAGGAGGAAATACATCAAAACCCTGACATTGGTCCTTTGTCATATTTTGTACCTTTAAAAAAAAAAAAAAAAAATTTTAAACTATTTTTTTCAGATAAATTTAAAATAAGATTTAAAATTTTACTCACTGATGTGACATTACAAAGTTTTTTTAGTGTTCTAGTTATTACACCTGGACCATTGTTTCCCCAGGCCCATCCTAAAAAATTGTGCTTTAAATCCGTTATACTGTTATTAGCCATTTTTCTACCAAGTTTTCCCATTCCAAATCCAATTATCCCAGCAGCAATACGTATTGCGTCTTCTGCACCGGTAAAATTTTCCAAATCCTCCAAACATCTATAAATAATGAGAAAACAAAATTAAAATGTAGTAATTATTTTATAAATGTGTGAAAAAAAATTTTTTTTCAACATATATAAAATTACTTAATAACAACAACGTCCAAATCCATGTAAATTCCACCATATTTCCATAATGTGAGATATCTCATAATATCGGACATGTGATTTATTGGCCATTTACTGGTTTTTAAAATTCCACGGGCATACCATTTTTCCAATGGTGTATTTTTCATATATTTATCGATATGAATTCGTTGGATTTTTATATTTTTATAACTCCGAAGTTGTTGAATCATTATATCAGCAGATTTCGAAATTTTCGAACCACATAAATATAGAAGGTAGACATTCATGTTTGGATTCATTAATGCTGCTGATTCAACTGCACATGCTTGTCTTGGATTTAAAAGTAATCCAGAATCTCCGAAACATGAGGTTTCATGAAAGAAAATACAATTTCCCAATGTTGGTCCTTCCTTTTCTTAAAATATTTTCGATTTTGAATCATTCCATTATATTTCGACTAAAATCGTTGCCGACTAATTTTAAAAAATTGTAACACTTTGAAGAAATGATTTTAAAGTAATCAATATCACGAAATGAAAAGAATTTTATTAAAATTTTAATTATTTATTGTAAAATATGAATTTGACACTTTTTCATCATAATAGAAAATATTAAAGAAAACATATCATTTTCCATGAAAATATAAAATATTGGAATTTATTAAGAATGACTAAATTTATTTTTATAAATTGATAAAAGCAATAAGGGAACATTCACATTTCTAGTTATTTACCAGTTGTCCCGCACCTCATATAATTTAAATCCATATTTTACAATAAATAATAAAAATTTTAATAAATTTCATTTCATTTCGTGACCTTGATTACTTTGAAATCATTCCTCTAAAGTATTATAATTTATTAAAATAGTCGGTAAGGACTTTAGTCGAAATATAATAGAATAACTCTTTTAGATTATTTGATTTTTATATGAAAAAAAGTGAATACTCACCATAATTTAATTCCATTAAACCATCAGGATCGGTTGTTTCGTTATAACACGAAAAATCAGTATCATTTAAAATATGAAATTTTCTTATGATAGTCGTTATTTGATTATTATGAGTGATAAATTTTTGACGCACAGACATTACAACGAAAATATAAAAAAAATCGTACCGAAGAATAAAATTAATAATATTTTTCTTATATTTTTCATTTTTTTTTTAATTTTTCTTCTTTCCTTAGATGTTAATGACAAAGTTAGGGTTATAAAATTTTACTCTTATGCTTTATGTCTTATGTATTATATATAACTTATGATTTTTGCAGAAAATCGCCAATTTTTTATCAATTTATTCTATAGATTAGATTAGATTTATTTAGTCACTGGTTTAGTGGAAAATTGGACACGTGAAATTTTCGTTAAAAAAAATTATTTAAATTCATCCAACTTCAATCATTAAATTAATTATCAATTTCTTATTATGTTTGTTTCATTTATTAACCATACAAAAAAAAAATTAATAATACTTCTATTAATTTGATTTAACAATCAATCATTTTATTCAAAATTAAATTATAAATAAATTTTTCTTACAAAGTTTTTAGAATATTATTAATTAATAATTATTATAGCAATACTGTTACAATGAATCAATTAATTTTAGAAATTATTTTTAAAAAAAATTGAATACACACATATCTAAAATACTGCTTTCGCTTCTGAAAAATCTTATTTTTAGAATTGTCTTCGTAATGTTTTTCTAGAAAAATTTTTTTTAAATGAAAAAATAAACAAATAATACAAAATTTATTAAAAATTTGATTAGAAAAATTCACCGCAATTGTTATAAACTTTAGGGCAATATTTTTGGGCAATTATTGAATAGGGCACTTGATCGCCAACTTTGATTTTTCTCTCGCGACTAAATTTATTCCACACGTGAATTGCTTTTGAATTTTTAATAATCTCCATTGTTTCACTCATGTTAACTGTTTCAAAGTATTTTGTCCAATTTCTAAAGCCAATTGGATAAAAAGCAGATGGTGGAAAAACCTTGAATCCAGTGCAACGAATTGGTATCATATCGCGAGCCTTTAATAAATAATAAAAATTAATTTTATTTATATTCTTGTTTAGAAAAAAAAAAAAAAAAAAAATTCATATCATCTTACATATTTTGTATCACAGAGTTTTTGTAGGATTCGTGTTATCACTCCTGGTCCATTATTACCCCAAACATTGCCTTTGAAATTTCTTTTTAAATCCCTCACACTAGCATCAGCTACTCTTCGACCCAAAGTGTCCATTCCAAATCCAATTACACCTGCTGCAACATCTTCCCAATCTTCTGCGCCAGCAAAATTTTTCAATTTTTCCAAAGATCTGGGAAAAAAAGTAAATATTTAATTTTATTATTATAAATATATAGAAAAAAAAAACAAAATTATTTTTTAATAATATAGAATACAATTACGTTGTGACAACGACATCTAAATCCAAATAAATACCGCCGTATTTCCATAATGTGAGATACCGCAAAATATCAGACATGTGGCTTTTTGGCCAGTGACTTGTTCTCAAAATACCACTGTCAAACCATTCTTCCAATGGCGTATGCTTTACATAATTATTCATATAAAGACGTCGAATTTTGATATTTTTATAACTCAATAATTGTCTTATTATTTGTTTTGATGAATCGGAAATTTTTTCTGGACTCATAAATAATAAATAAATTGACATATTTGGATTCATTTTTGCAGCTGATTCCACGGCACATGCTTGTCTTCCATTTAACATTAAACCCTCGTCACCGTAACATGATGTTTCGTGAAAAAAAATATTTTTCCCAAAATTTGATCTCTCAATGTCTAAAAATGACAAAAAAAAAACAAATGAATTACTGTAATTACAAAAACAATGTAATATTTAAAATTAACAATACCTTTTGATGCGTCAAATTCCTGTAGTCCATTAATATCAGACGTTTTGATATAACAAGATATGTCACGTTCATTGCGAGAAATCATAAGGGGTAAAATTATTTGACTAAAATCACCATCATTTGAAATTACAAAAATAAATAAAATAACGGCACATATAAAACTCAATAATAATCTTTTTTTCATTTTTTGTGACATTTATTAAAAATTTGTTGCGTCTCTAATCTCTCATTTCTCTCTCGCACTTTTAATGTAGATTTATCTAGATATTATGTATCTATGTAATTATTCTCTCATGTTTATATTATTTTTCTCCATTATCTTAATTTTTCATTACACCTTATCAATTATTACTGATAACAACCTTATATTTCTTATAGTATTTTCTATTCTTATTTAATTGGAAAAAATTGGTTTGACAAAACTATATGTCAAAAATAGTAAAACATTCTTTTTTTATGGCACTTTTTGATCATTTTACGAATATTTAAAATAAAAAATGAATTCTTACATTTTTTTTTTATCACAATATTTGATCAATAATTGTTGGGGTGGGAAGATCAATTTTCAATTCTCGTAACATCACTCAAGAAATAAATTTTGTTGTCCTTTACATTCGACTATTAAATTAAGTTGGCAATTAATTTGCTTTGATTTATTTTTTTGTCTTTTTGTAACTTTTTAAATGTTGAGATGTATACTGATGTGCTTGATTCTGTCAGCTCTCTCCCACTCACCAAACTAGAGATAAGAATATGTTATATAGATAAGATATTTCAAACCCAAGTAACAATTTTTAAGGTATAGTTGCAGACATTTTTATATAATCGATAGAATTTCATGACTGGATTTTACATATGGTTATATTGATTATTTGCAACATCATTGATATATTTAATATTTCCGTTTATAGATTAGATTTTGTTTTTCTCCAATGTGTACTGTTTACAATTATTTTCCCCTGCGAATTTAAAAAACTAATAGTGAATAAAAATGGTAATATAAAATAATACATATACAAAAATTAAAGTATAAAATATAAAATTACAAAAAACAACACAAAGGTATACGGAATATTTACGTTTATATTTATTATGTAGTGTAAATTTATTTTTATTAATTTAATACTTTTTTTATAATATTTATATAATATTTTAAACTTACGAAACTTAATTATCAATTTTTCTTTTCAATAGATAAACGTGAATGTATTATTATTTTTTATTTATATTTCAAGGCTATGAAATGATTAATAATTATATTAATTTATAAAAAAAAACATATAATTACTTTTTTTTTTATTCACTATTAGTTACAGTATTTAAGTTTGCGAAAATTGTAAAACTTTGTAAAGGTACACAATTGAGGAAATAGATATTAATCTTATAAAAAAAACAAATAAAAATAAATGTTTGAAATTCTCCTTTTTGCAAAAAATTTTTTTTTATTTTTTATTTGCAAACAATTTTTATATTTGTTTATATATGAACTAACAATAATAAATTGTCTATTCCATTTTTCTATTTGTGTAACATGTTAGTTTATCCATAAAATCATTACCTTATGTAACAATACAATATACATTATATACTAAAAAAAAAAACACACCTGAGTAAAGAAAAAAAAAACTTTTTTACCTATACTGTGTAAATATTTCAAATATATCTGATAATTTTATTTTTAAAAAAATACTTAACAACAATGATCAGAATAAACATTTTTAAATTTAAAAATAGAATTATAGAACGTAAATATTATACTTACAAAACATTTAAATTCCAAATTTTAAGACAGTGTAACAAGTTCAAATCACTTTACTGTTTTTTTTTTTTTTGTTTTGAATTCAGAAAGTAAGTTAGCAATTCTGTAAAATAAAAAAAAATTACCAATTCTAAAAAAAAAATACAAAAAATGTTTATGAATGTATATAAAATATATTTGTGAAATATTTTTTACTTACGTATTTATTTGCAAAAACGATTTATCAATATTAAATTATTATAAATATGTACTGCATTCCGTCAGATGATATTAAAATATGTCACATTTAAAAAAGTAAAACAAATGTTAATTAAAAATTCATTTCATAATTTAAGAAACTTAATTTTCTGTTTCGTCACTGTTGTTAAATTTAAAATAACATATATCACAAAACATAAAAGCAAACTTGGTTATGGACGTTTTATGTTGAAATAACTATATTTTCACAATATATAAAAGAATTCCATTTGTCAACAATTACACTGAGATTTTCACTGAATATTAGAAGGTCATTTCCTGTAAAATAATTCTTTTCTTTCTGGTGTTAACTTATATTTTATTGAAAGAATGAACTGTCTACAAAATCGTGTGATCCCACCGCATTGACACAACGGTGTAGTTAAGAAGGGTAGAAATGGTGGCGTCATCCCCCTCCACTTCAAACATCCCCCTTTTCATTCTATGAGCTTGTAAAATCTTCGTATACAAACTGAATCGTACAAAATATTTCAATTGATCTTTTTTAACAATTTACCAATAATTCATTAAAATTTTAAACATAAAAATGAATTAAAAATAATTACCTCTATTAGTAAATTATTTTTAATTTTATCAATATAATACAATTTGAAAATCATGTTTAAAAATATTTTTTATTAAAATATTCATTTGAATATTTAAATAATAAAATTAAAATAAGGAAAATATGTTTTAATTTTTCCGGAAGTAATATTGTATTTTAGTTACAGCCCTGATAACTTGACGCGCATGCACTAACGGGGTATATTTCTATTTTCTTTAATTATGAATCTTAAGACAGTCATCGAATTGTAAATAGACTATTTTTAATTTGTAATAATAACATATCAAGGACATTAAATTCTCGAGTTAACAATAATTTTAAAATTATTTACAAAACAATTAATTACAAGTTTTTTTTTAATTGAAGAAACTAATACTATTGTTAATTACAAATTTTTATTTATTTTATACTTTTTTTTTTAATCATTATCATATGTAACCGAGTTACAGGTTTTTTTTTTATTTTTGTATGGTTGGTTGCATACTTTACATTCAGAAGTCAATTATTAAATTACTAAAAATTTCAATAAATTAATTAATTTTAATTATTTATTTATTTTAATATTATTATTATATACGTTTTTAAATTTTTGATTTAATATTTAAATTTTATTTTAAAATTTAAATAGTTTCCCGTCAGTTGATAATATAGATTCTGTTGATTATTAACATTAGAATTAATATATTAATAGAATAAATATATTTTAATTAAAAGTTGAAAGAAGTGTATAATTTTCAAATTGAATATTTACTGATAATATATTTTACATGAAATATTAGATTTATTAAAAAAAATATAATATATTGAATATTTGAAATTCATTAGTTTCGCGCGCCTGGTGCAGATGGCGTCTGCGCCTAGTTTCACTCTAGTAACGCCGCCATTTTGAGAACTCATTCCGTCCTTGACGTTGGCGAAAAGTAGTTGCACATCTTATAGGTTTTCTAATTAATTAAATAGTAATTACAGTAAAGTTATCTTCAAGTATTATTATTCCTATTGTTTTTAATCGTAAAATACAAAACGTAACATTATAATCAATATTATCTCGTTTTCCTTGATTTTAAGAACGCCATGTTTGACAAATTTTCAACTGCATTGAAATTCATAAAGTTTTGACAAATTTATAAAAATTATAGTTTCTTTTCACTAAAAAATAATGTTTACAATAATTGTTATACGAATTAGTGATAAATTATGAAAAAAGAAATATTTTGCAAAGTCAACATAACCTGAAAATTGCAATTCTTGAAAAAGTAAAAGAAAAAATTATTCTTGTTTTAAGTTTTAAAATTGTTAAATTATTTTCGTAAATTTAAAAACTGGTTATAAATTTTCTGGATTACATACAGATGGCGGCATTTACCATTGTAAAAATATTTACCGACGCCATTTTCCAAGTCGACTACTTTTCGTCCATCAGTCGATGTTTCTAAAGTTTCAGTTTCTATCATATCAGAATTGTATTTATTTTACTTAAATAGTTAAAATTTATATTAGTGAGTGTTTTTTAATGAAAAATTAATATTTGTTGAAGTGTTTTATTGTTCTTGACACGTGTTGTGAAAAATTTTCAACAATTGCATAAAAATCACAATTAAGGTAAAAATCCACTTGTTTATTTTTTAAGAAATTTAATTAAATTTTATTTAGATACTTAGCATGGTTTGATGAAACAAAATTAAAAATTTTCATTGAGACATTTTGAACATAACCCTACTTTCCCGCGTGTGTTAGAAATTAATTAATATATATGCCATGTACAGCAGCACCAACGCTGTGTATACATGCAGTTGTCTGCCAAAAACATTTCGCCGATTAATTCTGGAAATTAGAGCGATAATTTTTGTTTTTATCAGTGAATTTTGTGTTTAAGTTTAATATTATTGACCCCTGTGTTTTGTTTTTGTTTCCCAATTCCGGTAAGATTTGTATCGTTTCTTTATTTTTCGTTTTTTTTCAATAATTTTGACATGGCGTTGACATCGCGGCTCGAGGTCCTAATAAAAAATAATTCGCGAATAAAAATTTCATACATATTCACATAATTATAGTTACAAGATTGTGGATAAATTTTATAGGTCTATGCATTCGTTTTTAGAAATGATTGACAATTTCTTTGTGTGCCCATAAATATGATACTTTATTGATAATAGAAAAACCTGTTTTCATATTGTGAATCCACAAGTGGTTGTGTGGTTATGAATTGTCTTGTTCTTTCGCACGAGTTAATATATACGTGTATAAAATGAAATTTATAAAAAATTTATTATTTTTATAAATTTGTGTTTATAGACATAATTTTTTTTGTCCTTTTTATCTAAACTTTAATTTAAAGAATTTATCAAATGAACTGCGAAATTTGGTATTGTTTTGTTTTTTCATCTTTTTTTACATTTGTTTATTTTGAATGAAAGTTTTTTGTTTATGAAAAAAAATATTGATTTTTTTTAAATTTACCTTTTTTTTATATTAATAGTTGGAAGAAAATACAATTTTCTTTTCTAATTATTTACATTACTGAGAAATCAGTTCTATTGTCATAATTATTTTAAGAAATGTGTTTTAGGAACTGCTAATTTTTTTTTCTCTACTTTTAATTGATTCAAATTTAATTTTTCTTATGAAAAAATTTTTTCTTTATATTAATTCTTTGATTTTTTGTTTGTTCCAGAATATTGCTGTTCAGTTTTCCAATTCCTTTTTTCTTCCGGTGAGTTTGATTACTTTTTCTTTTTTGGTTATTTTGGTGAGTTTTGATTTTATAATTTTTATATTATATAATTTTATTATTTTATATTTATATATTGTGAATATATATCAGATATTTAGCGAATCTGATTTATCTCAAAAGCAATATTTAGTACATTGGTTTGATAAAAGATGTCACTACCAATATGAATTTGCAAAATTTTGATTTGAATTTATCATGCATCACGTTATTTAATTATTTTATATTCTATAATCAATTGTTCACGTTGACTCATTAATATTTAAAACATGATTTTCTTTAAATAATCCTTTTTTCTTGATTGGCGAGTTTTTAAAATACAAATTACAAGATAATCAATCATCAGGCGATATATTAGATAACGTATAATTTAAACGTCTTATAGTATTTGTCTTTTTTTTTTTTATTCTTAATGTTAATTAACGTTGATAAATAAATAAATGATTAGGCGTTTTTAAATGTTAAATAATTAATTTTAGAGAATATGAATAATTAAATGATTTAGTGATGCATATAAATAATTTTTTTTTTTTTTTAATTAGAAGAATAAAATAAATCAATTTTGAATAATAATTCAAATATGAAGGTTAGGTGGTTAGGAAAATAATTCTTGTTTTTTATTCTGAAGATTAATAATATCTAATTAATCGTGTTTTGCGTAGTTAATAATTGAAATATATTTTAGTATCGATTAAGAAAATTAGAAAAGTTGATACAAGAGGAAAAATAGGCAAAGTTTGTAATTGTTTTTCTTTTTGTTCTGAGTTTTTGTATTTTTTAAAATGTAAGAAAGGTTTGTAGGGGGCGCGTGTCAGAAAAATGTTTTACTAGCCTTAATTTCGTTCGCTTTCAGTTTCACAGCCAATATGTCGGGCAGTAAATTTCGAACTTTCGCTCAGTTTTGGTTTTAGTCAACAACATTTTGTGAGTTTTTCTCTCACTCTATTTCTCACATTTATAGAAGAGGGAAAAAAAAAAAAAAAATCCCTAGATATTAATTTTGTAAATAACGAAAAACGAACTTTCCCTCTTCCCTCTTGTATATACCACCTTATTTCTTACAAAGCCGTCAAAGTTTTTCCTTTTTTTTTTCTTTTTTTTTACGAGCATACCAAGGCCATAAGAAAACGGTAGCAATAAAGTATATAGTCAGCTTGAACCATATTTTATAATTCAATTTCTGTTTATTTTTCTCGAGACTCACAGGTTGGGCTTGACTCTGGATCTATAAAGGGAAAAAGCGTGAAATATCAGATGGATGTGAAAATTTTATTAAAAACTTTACTTTTTACTGTTCGATATGTCTGCTTTTCGAAGCTTGACTTCCACGAGGGACATAAAAGTTGACATGAAACTGCTTAAGGAAATGTGGAATTCTGTTGTATTTTCTTTTATTGAAGAATGAGAAGGGGGGGAATGTATCTTTGAGAAAAAAAAGCGATGTAAAAACATGGCAAGTTTTTTCCTATATAAGAATCCTTTTTTTTTTTCAATCGTATATTTATTTTCGCTTTTTTTGACAAATGAATAAATATTAAGAAAGTGACCTTTGCTATCTATGAATAAAACCAAGTCAATTTTTTTTTTTTTTTTTTTTTTTACTTTAAAGAAGGAGGAATAGCTAATTTGAATAATAAATATATACACTTACTATTCACGTGCGTAGAAAACTAATCGCATCCTATTGTTAAAAAAAAAAAAAAAACATTCCGCAAATCGTAATCTTTTGTCATGAGATTTTTTGTTCTTTTTCAAGGACAAGGGTAAATAAAATTTTTGAGAAATTTTTTTCTTATATTATATATATAGGATAATTTGAAATTTAAAGGTGTATAATTTAATCCTAAGTTGAAAATTGATCAACCAGTTGACCAGTTACTTTGAATTACTTTGTCGTTGTAAAGCACCCTACCGTGAAAATACACACAAGTCGAAGCCTACGTCATACCTTGGTGTACGTACATTATTCATTGACATCGGTGAAAAGGGCGCCGGCTCTGTTACGTATTCTACGGGTTATTATGCCCTCTAAATGTTTAATGTGTTTGCCTTCCTTCGCTAGCCGCCGCGGCTTTATGTTTTACTAAGTAAATTACTGTTTTTTT